ATGAAACTTAGCAGACAGCCAAGGCACTACCAGAAAAAAGACAACTGTTCTGAGATGCAAAACATTAATACTACTTACAGTTTATATGATAGCTAGTATTATTAACCTAGATAGCCAGTATTATTCATCTAACTCCTGCCCCTCTACTCAGCCCTGGTTAGGCCACATCTGGAATGCCATGCACAGTTCTGGGCTCCTCAGTCCAACAGGGATGTAGAGCTCCTGGTGTGGGTCCAGCAGAGGACAACAAAGATTATGAGGGGACTGGAATGTCTCTCTTATGAGGAAAAGCTAAGGGAGCTGGGCCTGTTCAGCCTTGAGAAGAGACGACTGAGAGGGGACCTCATCAATGTTTGTAAGTGTCTGAAGGGAGGGTGTCAAAGGATGGAGCCAGGCTCTTCCAGGTGGTGCCAAGCAATAGGACAAGAGGCAAAACCTGGAACACAGGAAGTTCCACTGGAACATGAGGAAGAACTTCTTTACTGTGCATGACCAAGCACTGGAACAGGTTGTTTGGAGAGGTTGTGGAGTCTCCCTCACTGGACATATCCAGGAACCATCTGGACACAGTCCTGTGCAATGTGCTCTAGGATGAACTTGCTTGAGCATGACCCACTGTGGTCCCTTCCAACCTTACCCATCCTGTGATTCTGTGATCTAAAATTGTTATTTTATTGTAAATATTGAAAAAAAATCCAAAATAAAAAAATGAAAATGTCCTTATTTTGCCCTTATATATTTTAAACAATAGTTTCTGGCATCTTTTAAGTATTGGGAAACACAGTTTCTTTTTTGATATACACACCCATTCAGTAGACTTTCTGTAGGTATATGACATTATGGAGCACACTTCAGGCTCCTCAGTCAACAAAAGAATAGATGAAGTGAAGAGTTTTGAAAATGGAGAGGTGGTATTATTGAAAGTCACAACAAGCAGGCAGCAATGCAGAACTAACACATGCAGGAGGATTAAACTGGATCAAACTCTCTCTTCATCTGAGCCCCACTTGTGCACAGGGACAACATCTGTCTGAAAGGAAGTCACAGAACATCAGCCTAAAACATATGGCCTTTCAAAAATTATATCTGTGGGCACCTTTAACAACCTTTTGTTGCTACAGACTGAGCATAGCAGGGCTCTAGGCCATTATGGGGTTGCCTGTGTGGAAAATATATGCTTAGGTACAGAAGCCAAGTGGTGCTGGAGCCAGAAGAGACCCAGCTGCTGTACCTTGAGGGCTGCCATATGCTAAGTAAGGCATAGACAGTATCCTTCACTGTCTCCAGCCACTATAATTCTTGACATTGGTTATATGACACCTAAAAAAAGTCTGTCCAGCACAGAGAAACGCTGGAGGTGTTAGCATGATTCTTTACTGATTTTCAAATGCCTCATGAACAGCTAGAGCTATCTATGGTATTGTGCCCTGTAGACATAATCAAAAAGGAGTTCAGAAAACCAGAGCAATTAACCCTTGGGTTTTTTTGTAAGGGTAAGAATCTTCTCTTAGCATTATTGCTTAGATTTAGGCAGCTTAAGACTAAAAGGGACTATGATGCCCTCCAGACTGATCTTGTGGAGAATATGAACACAGCTCAGTAGCTCCTGTGTCAGTTTGCATCTGGTCACTTGGCCTGTAATGGAAGCCTGATGTAAAATGTTTTAGATGTGGAGAAAGTGCCGTGCTTTTAAACATCTCTCTCTATGGATTGAATATCCTTATTGAATTAAACCCATCACTTTTTTCTAGCCTTATTTTGGCAAGCTTCAGCTTCCATCTCCTGCTGGATCTCATTGCACGTTCTTCTGTTATAACACTGTTTGCTATCAGAAATATGATCTTTAAGTAGCAGTTCTGAACACAGATCTCTTTAACCTCCTATGGATGAACCGATTTCTTTGTAAGACACTGTCAAGCACACATTTTACTAGGCTAAATGATGAACTTTCTGTACTATGAAAATCAGAACAGCAACTAATTTTTTTAATTGTCCAATGCTGAGAGACCAAAAAGCAAGACGAACTAGGCTTATAGCTACACAGTAAGAAAATAGTTTATATTTTTTCTTTCTTGTTTTTCAGTGAGATTTTTAAGATGATTTAAGTGATCATAGCTGTACTGTATAATAAGCTGCATGTGCCAGCAAACTGCCTTATCGGAATTAGCATTTTTAAACACGATTGCAGGATTAATTCTTTCCATTGAGGAAAAAGCAAGGAGATCTGTGAGCCATAAAACTAATGAAACTTAAGTTTCTGTTACTTTCCATGAATTTACATCCCTCCTGTCTCTTTCTGACTACTTTCTGCATTATTTCCAGAGTTCTCTGTCCCTTACACCTTTAGTTTCTGCATCATCCATCAATCAGGCTGGGTAAGAAGTAGCTGGCACTGTAGGCAGCTCAGAGCTAAGGTATATACCCACCAGTGCAGGGTGTGCATACTGGTCAGCTGGTTTGCTAATAGCAAACACAACTGGGAGAACTAAGTTCTCATTACCCTTCTTTTCAAGGGAGCACTGACTAGGGCCTTAGGACTCGCAGCCACTGAATTCTGTAAAATTTTTAATTTTAATATTCTTAATTTTAATATTCTTAAGAACTCTATCCTTCCGCTAAATTTGTTTAAAATTGGTGAAAAGATCCAACAGTTGTGAGGAGACACGGACACATAGAGTAACTGCATTAGGAATTACTAACTGCATTAGGAAAAAGAGGCTATAAATGAAGGAATACATTCCCAGCAGTGTAACAGAATGGTTGGCTATTACAGTACTTCAGAAGCGTAACATAGGATGTGGTTGTGCTGAAATAGAAAAGCTCAGGTTCATAAATGTGCTTCTGCTTGCGGGAGGCATGAATGACACATTTCAATGGCATGTTCTCATTGTGCTGCTCCATAATGTGTTCTGATTTCAGAATGGTGACACAATTGCCATAGTTAAAATGACTAGAAAGACTTAGTCATAACCACTTAAAAGCAGTAACAGGATATTTGTGAGTGACTGGATTCCCTTGGAATGTAAAGGTTCTATAAAGGAACACCACTTCCAGATATAATTGACAAAGTTCTGGGGCTTTTTGTTTGGGTTGTTTTTTTTCTTTTCTCATGTGAGCAACCATATTTGCTACTTGATAGATTGACACCTTCCATGATGGAATCTAAATCCTAAATGACCATCAGCAGTAGTGAGTCACTGGGTCTTTGTAGGGCAACTGTGTTTGCTTTGGATGGAAAATGGAAGAGAAATTCTGTTGCTCAGTACAAAGAAAAAAGTCACACCATCTTTGAAGTCTTTTTTCAGGATTATTGGAGACGCAGCTTACAATCTCCCTTATTCACCTGGGATAAAGTTCTAATAACTTTGTTAGTTTTGGGTCCTCTCTTACCTCTCAAAAGAATGTATGACTAAGATTTGAAGAGCTAATGTAAGTAACGAGACTATGATGGTTCTACTACAGTATCCCAAGTAACAACAACTCATACATTCCCAATGTGTTTCAGTTCTTGGCTTGCCACTGTGATTTGTTTCTAGCAGTAGTGCTAGTGACGAGCTGTTGTTTACATCTATAATGTTCCCATAATGAAAAAACGCATGTATGTGCCCGTAGAAGGAATACACACAAAATTGCAGCTGCACAGAGATAATGAAGCCAACAGGGGCTGCCAGAAAGCCATGTGTTGCACAGCAGGAATTAATTTTACAGCCAGTGGTGCACCAAGCCCCTGGTGCACCTGGCTGCTGTTGCAGTGTCTCAAATCATCTCTTACAGGACAGAGTAGAGATGGATTACACAGAGCTCCAGCACCACAGGAAGAATAATTATTCCCTAAGTATGTATTTTGGGCAGACAAGCAAGAATTTAGTGAAGAGATGGAAGACAGACAACTTGGAACGTCAGTGTCTGTGTTAGGGGGTGACAAGCCTGAGGAGCAGGTCAGGGAGAGGAGCGCAGGCCAGCCATGAGCGTGCTGCCCACACTGCCCCGTGGCTGGAGCCCCAGGGACTGGGGACACTCAGGTGCATGGCTGAGCAGTGTGGGGAGATGTGGCTCGAGGATCTTCAACATTTTTCCAGATCTGCACTGATTCGTAACTACTTTCGTGTGGAAAAGCCACCAACGAGCCTCGACTCCCCAGGGCAGTAAATCACAGCAAGTGTAGCCACTTCAGGGCTTGTTCTGCTCTGAGGGGGAATACACGAGTCTGATCTCCCCCGAAGTAATTTATGATGTTCAGTTACTTCTGCAGAGTTGGGGGGAAAATCCTTATATACTTAAGAGACTTTTAAATTTAGTTGGGAAATTCCTAGTAAAGATGCATAATAAGAAGCTGAAAACAAACATCCATCTTCAACCTTTTCTATAGTTAGCCAGCTGTGAATGTGAAATACAAGGTACTGATGTAATTGGGTGAAATTTAATAATAGAAAGGAGTCGAGGTTCGACAGTCTAATGGTGGTTCGTTCCCTGAGTTTGTATTTCAGAATTTTTGTTCTACCTGGCTGTGTTCTTTCTCAGCACTTTTGTGGTGTTATGTTTGTGAGGAAGCTATGGCTTTAGGAGGAGCTGAAGGGTTCTATTTCTATAATGTCTGTCTGATAAAAGTGCACTTAGGGCTTACCTGGGCTTACTCTGCATCCGTGTCTACACTGTGCAATTCCATGCTTTAAGTCCTCTGTAAACCCTTCACCAAGGATTGTTTTCTCTTTTGCCCGTGACGGCCTCAGAAGGCCTCCACCTTCTCCACTTGTTAAAGCTTTACGTTGAAGTGAATTTTTGCTTTGATGGAATGTGACATCAGAGTTTTTGAGGGACGGGTGAGAGGGCGTTTTCCAAGAACGGAAAGATGTTGCAGAACGGGAACGCTCTACTTCCATTCCGGGGAATTCGGGGGACGTTCCTGGGCGGTGCCTGCCCCGGAACCGCCGCGCGGAGCGCTCCGGGCGCGCGGGGCATTGTGGGCTTTGTGGCCGCCGCTGCGGCGTTCGGCGGGTCCCGTTAAAATGGCGCCGTAGGCGGCGGCAGGAACGGGAGGTGTCGCCGGGTCCCTGCGCTGCCGAGCGGGCGGCGCGTCCTCGCCTCTCTCCCTACTTCCCTCCGCCGTTCCGCCGTGCCTCCGGCCCTGCCGCCCGCTCCCTCTGCCCCGCACCTCCTCCTGCCTCCCGCGCGGCGATGGCGACTCCGGACCAAAAATCCCCCAACGTTCTGCTGCAGAACCTCTGCTGCCGCATCCTGGGCAAGAGCGAAGGTAACGGCGTCCCCCCGCCATTCCCGCGCCGGCGGCGCTCGGAGCCCGCGGGCGGGGGCGGGAGCTGCCCCGGCGGGGCTGGAGCGGTGCCGGCCCTCTCTCCCCCCCGACGGGGAGGGTCGGCAGCCCGGGCGGTGCAGAGCTGCCGGCCGGGCACGGCAGAGGCCCCGTGAGCCGGCGCCCTCCGGCGAGAGCCGGCTTGCGGCGGCTTCGCGTCCTCCTCCTCCTCCTCCCCCGGAGCGCTTGGCCGGCTGCTCAGGGCGCTGTCCTCCTCGGGGAGCAGGGCACCCCTGCCCGGCGGTGTGGGGCGAAAGGGGGCTCGTGTGCACGGTGAGGAACCTCCGCCGGTGGCTGTTCGAGTGGAGGCACTGGCGTGCGCCGGGTCCTCTACAGGTCCTCTGTGTCATGATGCTGCTGTGGTCCTCCAGCAAGGAAATGAATCTCTTGCCTGTGTTGACTCCCTTGCAGTCAAGGCAAAGACTGTTTTTAGTAAGCAGTCAGAGGGTGGAAAGGAGGAGGTGCATCTGCTGAGTCTCTTTTTTAAGCTGCTGTTTTTATAAACATTGCTCACTAGACAAATTCATGCAAAAGCTTCTATTATGTCGGTTTTCTTGTATGAGAGATGACTGTCTCCCTCATTAGCATTAGCTGTCAAGTCTCTTATGTAGTTTTCCCCTCCATGCCACTCTCTTCTGACAAGTCCCTCTGGTTACCTTTAGCTATTTTCATGGCAGTAACTAATAATTTTGAGCATTGATCTATTGTAAAGAATTAGGTTCAAAATGACTAAAATGTGGCCTATGTGTGAATTACTGCTATCTTAGAAATCTAGAAAGTGAGTAGCGAGGTACAAATATACCTGTCTCTCAAACTTTGTTTCTGTCTACTGCAGACAGCACATCGTGATCTCACACCCCATCCCTGTCTCTTGAGCTAGAAAGATAGGAGTCTAACGGATGAACTGTTTGATGGATGGGGAACCAGTAGGATGGCCACATCTAAAGAGGTGTAGTCAATGTCTTGGTGTCAAAACAAAGATCAGTAGAAAGTGGTGTCCCTCAAAGGTATTGGGACTGATGCTGATCAATATCTTTATCGATAGCATAGGCAGTGGTATTGAGTATGCCCTCAGAAGATCTGCAGGTACCACCAAGCTGAGCGGTTCAGCTGATATGCTGGAGGAAAGAGTTGCCATGCAAACCTTGAGAGACTTGGGCCCATGTGAACTTCAAGGTTCAACAAAGCCAAGTGCAAGATCCTGCACCTGGGTCCAGGCAATTCCCAATGTCAGTGCAGAATGGGGAATGAATGGAGCAAGAGCAGCTCTGCAGAGAAGGACTTGGGGGACTAATGAAAAATTCGATGTGAGCCGGCAGTGTGGATCCTACAAATCCAACTATATCCCGAACTCCTTAAAAAAGAAGCACGAGCAGCAGGTTGAGGGAGGTGATTCTCCTGCCTCCTGTCTGCTTTTGTGAGACCCCATCTGCAGTCCTGTGTTCAGCTCTGGGGTCCTCCGCGGAAGAAGGAGATGGACCTGTTAGAGCAGGTCCAGAGGAGGACCATGAAAATGGTCAGAGGGATGGAACACCTCTCCTACAGAGAAAGTCTGAGAGGGTTAGGGTTGTTCAGCCTGAAGAAAAGGCTCTGTGGAGATCTTATTGTGGCCTTTCAGTTCTTAGAAATGCTTATAAGGAAGATAGACTTTTTACCAAGGCCTAAAGTGACAGAGCAAGGGGTAATGGCTTATATGGTAGGTTTAGATTGCACACAAGGAAGAAATTTTTAACAATGAGTGTTGTGAGACACTGGAACAACTTGCGCAGAGAAGTTGTGTATGCCTGGAAGAATTCAAAGCCAGGTTGGGCAGGCCTTTGTGCAACCTGGTGTAGTGAAAGATGTCCCTGCCTATGACAGGGGGAGTGGATTAATGGTCTTTGAAGGTCCCTTCAAAACCAAATCATTTTCCAATTCTGTGTTTCATCTGAGAACCTTGGAAGAAGAATTGTCTTCACTGAACTAGGTGAATAGGGACTCCTTCACAGAAACACACTGTTGGTCCATTGAACTCTAAGATCATCTTTGATCAAAATGATTCTATGACCAACAGCTCTTGATTACTGTGTTTGGTTTTTCAAAATATTTTCCCTTTCCATTGCATTTTTAAATCTTCTGCAAGGCCATAAATTTTCCTTTTCCAGAATCTATAATATTTCAGTGACAGGAATTCCTAATGTGAGATTTTATTAGGATGTGGTAAGTTTCTGCTCTTCCCCTATCTCCACCAAATCAATGGTGAATTCTAAACTGTTTAATATGTCTTATGTTCTTATGTAACCACGTTTCTTTTAGCAACTGATTTCACATCAGTGTATAATTCTAAGGTGCTCTTATACCTCTACTTTTAAAGCTGTTTCTTGCTTTTAACATACTTTGGAAATTTTTTTTTCCTGATAAAATTGGTATATGTTCTTGTTTAAGAACACTTCAGATATTTACTACCATAAATCTCAAATTATCGTGCTAGTCCTACTTCCACAAAGGAAAAAAAAATTTAAAATAGATTGTCTTCCTTTATTGGAGTAGTGGATGCCTTTTTGAGGACATTATTTCTATATTGCCTAATTCTGTTTTCTCGGTGAAACCAATTTTTCTCGGTGAAACCAATTTTTCTCGGTGACTCTGTTTTCTTAGGTTTGGAAGGGAGTGCAACCTAAACTCAATCTAAACTTGTTTCTTGATAGCATCTTATTTGCGTCTGTGCTACTTACAAAAGAACATGAGAACAGAAATGGAAACTTCTGTTTGTCAGTTGAGGTCTGAGTGTTGAGGAGAGGTGGTTCACTTCTAGCAACTGAGGATCAAGCTTCTTTTTGAAGCCATAGTTTCTGTACATCTCAGTGTCTCCTGACTGGAATAATAATTTTATTTGCAAGCAATACGTGGAAAAACATGCGAGAGAACTCTGATTTTTGTCTTTTTTATAGTAAATGTTGAACCTGTTCCTGTGTGTTGGGATTCTATTAATTTAACTTGTGTGTGACTAATGAAAGGGGTAATTTTGCCCAAAATCACAGTAAGTTGCTGCATGCAACCTGTAGCCCTTGAGGGGCTACTTGAGGGACATACAACTTTAAGTAACAATTTAAAAAAAGGAAAAAAAAAAGAGTTGTCTGTCAGATTTATCACCCGTGTTTTTGTGCATGTGACAGATAGGAAGCCCATCCTTTCCCTTCTCTTTATTCCTGTGTTAGGAGGGACTCTAGCACTGAAATCTCACCCTTCTAACATAGGACTTCTCTTGAAGTAGTCAACTGTAGTACATATGTTAGCTCAGCTGTTGATTTAAAGTGCATAGAGGCCAATAAATCAAAAGGTCTTTGGTAGTCTCAGTCATGAAAGATGTGTATGGTGTTTGGACATAGAAACCAGTGGGAGTACAGGGAATAAATAAAGACAATAAGGGAATTTTGTTAGTACTGGCATACTCTGTGTTGAGGAAATGCATATATCCCTACGTGGTAAGGAACCCATCAGACAAGTTACTTAGCATCTTGCTGTTTTTCAGGCTTGTAACTCAACTTTCTTTCAGCACAAAATAAATTTGAAGTAAGGTATTTGTGTGTGGTCGGTGGTCTATGTGCAGCTTCTCCCCTCCTTGTGTACTGACGAAGGTAGGCTGCTTTGTATATACACATTCTCTTTTTTGAAGCAAACTTTACAAGTATTATCAGTTTAATCTTTGGCAAGTAATTTGTGATGTTCAATTACTTGTACAGAGTTTAAGGGAAAGAAACCTTAGATACTTAGGAGACCTTTAAATTTAGTAGAAAAAATTTTAGTGGACTTGCATAATAAGACTCTGAAAACATCCGTCTTTAACCTTTTCTGTAGTTTGCTTGCTGTGAATTTGAAATACAAGGTACTGATGTAATTGGGTGAAATTTAATGGGTAAATAATATAAAAGAGTTGAGGTTTAATGGTCTAATGGTTGTTCCTGCCTGTGTGTTCCCTGAGTTAGTACTTCAGAATTTTTGTTCTACCTGGCTGTGTTCTTTCTCAGCACTTTTGTGGTGTTATGTTTGTGAGGAAGCTATGGCTTCAGGAGGAGCTGAAGGGTTCTGTTTCTATAATGTCTGTCTGATAAAAGTGCACTTAGGGCTTACCTGGGCTTACTCTGCATCCGTGTCTACACTGTGCAATCCCATGCCTTAAGTCCTCTGTAAACTCTCCATCAAAGATTGTTTTCTCTTTTGCCCGTGACGGCCTCAGAAGGCCTCCACCTTCTCCACTTGTTAAAGATTTATGTTGAAGTGAATTTTTGCTTTGATGGAATGTGACTTTAGAGGCTCTCCATAGTGGAGCTGTCCTCTCTCTCTTCCCCCTTTTTGAGACCACCCACCAAGTAGATTATTTGCTTTGTTTCCAGAACCAGTCAGCTGAATAGGCCTAGTTGCTGAGGTTTTTTTGCAAGTAGCTTCACCTCTGAGAAATTCATTACGAGATCTGCTGAGTTATGTGGAAGAACTCTGTATTTTGTTTAAAAAACCACTATCTACCTCAGTATTTTTTTTCTTTTAAGGACAGAGGTTTGAAAGCTCTTTGCTCCTGTGCTTTAGCCAATTATCAAGGAAGGGCTTAAAGCTTTCCACAGTGCCATGTATCTGCAGTCACCTACTGCGCTTAGTTGGTGGCCTCTGCACCTGCAGTTGGACCTGTTCTGACCTCTCTCTTCCTCATGTCCTCTCAGCATCTAAGAACTAGTGTGCTGGTTTTGTATTATCAATCTCCTGTGTTTATCCAGGCTATCCACCTCACTTTTACAATTAAACCTGATCTTGCAGAGAGAGCTTTCCTACCTGTGCAAAAATTTCTATAATTTTTTTCTCCCCTCTGTGGGCTCCAGCAGTTATACAGTGTTGCCTCTCTTTGAACAGTGATTTTAATCCTTCTGACAAAGAACTTCTTGTTCTTAGCTGTCTTTCAGAAACCTCCTAGT